ATATATATATATATATGTATGTATATATGTACATCTATATATTAATCTAAATTACAAAACTAGAACAAAATTTTGATGAGAGCTACATACTCAAATTATTTCAGTATGAGTCAACACTCAGTGTATGTTTAGAAAAATTAAATCCAATTTACTTTGTCAACTGATAGGAAGTGGGGTACACAGGTAAACCACATTACATATTCTGGGCTACTCTATTAAATTGGTAATCATAATCTGTGAGGAAATTCATTTCCCCTTGGGGTATATGCTTACTATAATATTGTTAGACTAACCATCATAATGAAGATGATATGTTAATTGATAATGAACCTAATCTGATTCCATTAGCAACTGGCAAAATAGATAACACAAATATTTAAAAACAAAAGCTGAGTTAAAAGGCCAGATGCATTTCCATTATTCAAAAGTCATTCAGAATAGTCTCCTTATATTCTTTTTTTTTAATTTATTTTTTTTATTGGTTGTTCAAAACATTATAAAGCTATTGACATATCATATTTCATACATTAGATTCAAGTTGGTTATGAACTCCCAATTTTACCCCAAATACAGATTGCAGAATCACATCGGTTACACATCCACATTTTTACATAATGCCCTATTAGTAACTGTTGTATTCTGCTACCTTTCCTATCCTCTACTATCCCCCCTCCCCTCCCCTCCCATCTTCTCTCTCTACCCCATCCACTGTAATTCATTTCTCTCCTTGTTTATTTTCCCATTCCCCTCACAACCTCTTATATGTAATTTTGTATAACAATGAGGGTCTCCCTCCATTACCATGCAATTTCCCTTTTCTCTCCCTTTCCATCCCACCTCATGTATCTGTTTAATGTTAATCTTTTCTTCCTGCTCTTCCTCCCTGCTCTGTTCTTAGTTGCTCTCATTATATCAAAGAAGACATTTGATATTTGTTTTTTAGGGATTGGCTAGCTTCACTAAGCATAATCTGCTCTAGTGCCATCCATTTCCCTGCAAATTCCATGATTTTGTATTTTTTATTGCTGTATAATACTCTATTGTGTATAAATGCCACACTTTTTTTTATCCATTCATCTATTGAAGGGCATCTGGGTTGGTTCCACAGTCTAGCAATTGTGAATTGTGCTGCTATGAACATCGATGTAGCCGTATCCCTGTAGTACGCTCTTTTAAGGTCTTCAGGGAATAGTCCAAGAAGGGCAATAGCTGGGTCAAATGGTGGTTCCATTCCCAGCTTTCCCAGGAATCTCCATACTGCTTTCCAGATTGGCCGCACCAGTTTGCAGTCCCACCAGCAATGTACAAGAGTACCCTTTTCCCCACATCCTCTCCAGAACTTGTTGTTGTTTGACTTCATAATGGCTGCCAATCTTACTGGAGTAAGATGGTATCTTAGGGTGGTTTTGATTTGCATTTCTCTGACTGCTAGAGATGGTGAGCATTTTTTCATGTACTTGTTGATTGATTGTATGTCCTCCTCTGAGAAGTGTCTGTTCAGGTCTTTGACCCATTTATTGATTGGGTTATTTGTTTCCTTATTGTTTAATTTTTTGAGTTCTTTGTATACTCTGGATATTAGGGCTCCATATATTCTTGATAAAAACTCATATTTCTCATTACTGTTCAGATGTGTTCCCATCATGCTATAAAATTGCTTTCATAAAGGTCGTCTAATTTCAGTTAAACATGTTTGTTTATAGTATTCCTAAGGTTATTCCCCCTTTTTTTTTAACTTGAAATTATTTCCTTTGTTTACTCCATTTTCTCTGCTTAGAATGTCCTTCTTACTCCAATGTTCTCTCTCTAAACCTTCTATTCCCTTATCTTCTAATCCAATTCTTAGTTATACAATTAATAGGATGAAATGTGATACCTGAAGGGGGATATGAAGATGAAGTGCCTTTCAATAAGCTAAATATATGTCCCACAGGGGCTTTAGTCTCCAAAATGTGTGCTATATCCATTGGACATAAGTTAAATGTCCACTGAGGTTTGAATAGAAACATGTATATGTGAATATATGTATATGTGATAGTGGTGTGTGTGTGGGGTATATTATATGTATATCTATATATTAAATGAGAATAAGCATAAGTTTTATTTGGTTAATTCATTAGAACTTTAAAAAAATTTCAATTTTACCCTATCCTTTAAAAAATAGTCTCTTTAGAATATGTTTTACAATGCATATAATTTATTAACAATATTATTAATGTTCAATTTTATTTAAATGATAAGGAATATGATAAAAGTTCTGGAGAGCCGTCCACTATAAACAGTCCAATCTATGTTCTGAAATATGACAAATCTGTTGATGGGCTGAAGTAGACAGGTAAAAGGGTGGAATGAAGCAGCAAAGACCTCCCTCTCCTAGAGGCCAAATCCCTTTATATCTTTTCTTTATATAATTTATGATAGTTTTAGTTTAACATCTACTTAGATGATTATTTGCTGAGAGAACTGCTGTATCCTCAACCTAGTACAATCTGATAGAATTAATAATAGACAAGGTTATTTGACTATTTACATGTGTATTAACTCATTTCATAATAAAATATCTTATGAGATTGATTTTATAATTATTCCCATTTTTAAGGTGAGGAAGATATAGCCAAGAGAAGTAACTTGCCCAAAATTTACATAGACAACATGTGGTTGAACTAGGTTTGAATTCAAATAGTCTGACTTCAGAGTCTTGCTTTCCACTTGTATGCTATAATGTCACCTAGAATATGGTAAATACTATATAAGTATTAAATCAAGGAATAAATACAAATTTTTTCAAACTGAAAAGTTATTCAAAAATTTCAAGCCATACAAGAAATGTACTTTTTACTGATAATCTCACCCTTGCTTTTCCTGAACATGTAGCATCTCTTCTTCTTCTATCTCATTTTTAACATTTAAATATTTTACACCTTCATCCAGTCTCTTGTCTAATGATCTCCATCTTTGGTTTCTCTTCTATAATATGTAAAAAGGTAGATGTTACTTTGTAAATCATGGGATTTTTATTTTGTGGATTAAAATTAATAGGCTGTACATCAATAAGATAATAATGTGAATGATACTCATTATTTTTAAACATATCTATTATTTTTTTTACTATATTAAAGATTACAAATTGTTAGCAAGTCTTTGAGTCTCATGTACTACACAGCTACAGTGATGACATTATTTTTAAGGTAAAAATATTCATGATAATCGAAAGAAAAGCTATCATTATTATTCAGCAATAGGAGATACTTTTTAGTTCAGATGATCTTATAAAGTTCCATGTTTCATTATTGTTGGTTAAAAAATTTAAAGAGAAAACTATAAAGTTTACTACTGATGTTATGATAAGCCAATTTATAAGGCTGAAATATTTTAAAACTAATTTTCAACTGTGATGGCTACAGTTCCTCTTATTAAGATTTATTATGTCATCAGATGCTTGGTTTTAATAAATTACCAGTGCAATTTTTGTACCTTTTGTACTCCTGTAACAAAGAGTTCTCCTGGGTATATGGTTTTAGGTTTTTATTTTAAAAAAATCTTTATTACAGTGTTATCTATTCTTCTTCTTCTTTGATTTACTTAGCTTTACAACAAAATAAATAAAACACTATATTAGATTCGAGATGGATACTGTACCTCACGGAATGTAAATGTGTGAGAAAGGTGGCAGTAGCTATCAAAGCATTCCTGGCATAAGTGGTATTCTATACATTCGGTACACCTGCAAATGCAAAACACCATAATGTGCAAGAATAAAAAATCCAGTTATTGTGATGGCTTTTCATGAAAATTCTTATCAAAACTTTCTGGGAACCATCCAAACATGACAAGGCCTATTTCAAGTCTCACTGTGTAATAGTTTTGTACTGCTACTGTAAAAATTACCAAAGCTTTATTAGCTTAAACAACACAAAATTATTATCTTAGAGTTCTGTAAGGTAAGTCTGACATGGGCCTCAATGTGCTAAGAACAAGACATTGGGCAAGTCTGTGTTATTTTTTGAAACTCTAGGGAAGAATCCATTCCTTGACCTTTTCTTTGCTCCATCTTCAAAGCAAGAAATGGAGTATCTCTCTGCCTTTCTTCCTCTGAATTTCTTGCCACCCTCCTCCACTTTTAAGATAGCTTATGATTATAGTGGGTTTACTCAGGTCAAGATAATTTCATTATTTCAAGGTAAGCTGATTAGACACCTTAATTCCATCTGCAACCTAATTCCTCTATGACCTGTAGTCTAACCTAAAAGTTCTTGGCATAAGGGTATTGAAATACATAGGATACCACTATTGTACCTACCGCATGCCCCTTTCATGGTGCTGTCCTGGATGAACAACTTTTAGTCATCTCTTTCTCTAATTTCCTATAGGATTTTTTTTTTTTTTTACATCCAACAACAAACACTGGCTGTGGTTATGCTTTTCCTAGAATCCTCTTTAATCAATATTCCTTAAATTAGTTGAACATCTCCTGCTAAATGTCTGTCAAAATTCCGCCTTATTTCCTCAAGCTGCAGTACTCCTTTGGAGCTTTATCAGGCTAACAATTTTCCGATAAAGACTTTTTCACTAATGATTAATGATTTTCTGTGTGACACATACAGAAAACCAAGGAATAAATCCAAAGGATAAACGTATGTTTGTAGTTGGGGTGTAAAAAAATGTTTTATGGTTTTATGAGAAAATTTAAAACATATAATTCAAATTGGGCTCATCATAATGTAATTCAAAGAAGACAGAAAAGTAAATGCATTTCAGAAAAATTTTAAATAAATATTGAAAGAAAATATTTTCTTAACATATCATTAACTTAAAAAATTTAGGGCTGGGGTTGTGGCTCAGTGGTAGATCACTCATCTAGCACGTGTGAGGCCCTGGGTTTGATCCTTAGCACCACATAAAAATAAAATAAAGACATTGTGTCCATCTACAACTAAAAAATATTAAAAAAAATTTTAACTAAGAAAACACAATATTCAATGCATAGCAATTAGCTGATGTTTAATTGTGGAAATTGTAGGAAAGTTTGGAGTTACTCATAATAGCAGTAAATTTTATTAGCATACTAATTATCTTGCTTTGTTGCTATTGTTGAGGTATAAGATATGAAAGAAAAAAATCTACACTCTTTGCTATTTGGAATAGATAAAACTGAATTAAAAATTCAGTCAATGTATGTCAATATCTTTTTAGCTTAATTTTAGGAGATTCTAGCAATGACCTCATTGATAGACCAAAGCATTTTAGAAGGAGTGAGAGATCCAGCAGGGCTCTGCACTTGGAACCTTATTTAGGCCAAAGCATCCTGCTAAGACAGGGTGCTACTTCATATTCAACCTAGACAAGAATGCAAAGCCACTACTTTTGCAAAGTGAAGAAAATAAAAAGGAATCACAGGTCTAGAAATCCCAAATAAGCTGTCATAGGGAAAATACCATATGTGTAGGAGGAAGAAGGCAATATTAAAGATAGGTACTCTAATGCTAAAGTTTGTTAAAAAAAACAAAACAAAACAAAACTTTTTTCTCATACTTCTAATTTTACTAGTGATACTTACTTATAACACTTCCCCTCAATTGGAAATTGTTTACAGTTATTACAGGGAATTCCAAGGTGTTTGTGCAGTGGTTCTTTCTCAGCTGCAGTCACAAGTTTGCTAGCATTTTGGAATTCTTCCAAAATAAGTTTCAGTGGTGCAAACTCCTTCCTGCACAGAGGACATTTCAACGTGGAAGTGTTTGATACCGTATTCTGGTAATTAGCTAAGATCTTCATGCATTTTATATGGAAATTATTGCCACAGCCAAATCTATCAGAAATAAAATTTAAGTTTACCATTTGCATAGAGAAAACTATATCCATATATACATTGTACATATTCATATAAACAAGAATTTGTGCTACAATGTTTATTTACCATAAAATTAGACTATGAAATAATTTCCTAGATATAGCTTGATTATACATGCATGCACACACAAATCTAATTTACTATCTTTAATTTAGTGTATCAGAAATCCAAATATAAATTTATTGGGAAATTTATTTCCCAATAAAATGGAATTTGCATCGAAATTTGTAGAGTGAGAATGAATATAGTTTCACACCAAGAAAAATCATAATGATAATTATTATTTAAATAAAATACTTCACTGAGAGCAGGGGTACAATTTTTTTAAAACATACAATATCTGCTAAAATGAACCCCTAAGAAATATCTGCTGGGGAAAATAATATTTGGTGAAATAACTAATTATCTTACAATATACAACAGAAATCGACACACTAAAAACTATAATATTGATGAAAATTTTGTCAAATAATCAGGAGGAAAAAGAATGAGATATTTCAGTAGTAATAGATGCCTAATTTCTTTAAGTCTAACTTTAAAGTGTCATGAAGAATAGTATGAATATGAGCCTCTCAATGAACATATTTTTGCATAAGCAAAATTTGAACTATTTAAGTTTAAAGATAGAAGTCTTAAAAGCTGAGAATTTTTATAATTTCAAAATAAATTCAAAATCTTTGTACTACCCTGAGCCAAGTCATTTATTCATGTGCATGAAACAAAAACATGAAAAACTGTACTACTTTAATTACTTAAATAGAGGGAAAACTAATTGTAATGTTTCAAATTTTCACTCTTAAAATGTAGTTCAGGAATATTTAGAGTAAGAATAGAACCTCTCATGAGATATACATTAGGAAACAAAAGAACACTAAGGAAGTATATATCAGTCATAGGTAAAGATTTCTATTTTTTCCATCAACATATATCATAATGCAATAAATTAGAAACATGTTAAATTAGAAATTTTCACAAGTTTTTAGAATCACAAGAGAAAATACTGTCACCTGCAAAAGGTGACAGGCAGCCTTTTCTGTGAAAGCACCTCTTGACAAATAGAGCAGATATCCTCTGAATCAATTTCCTTCTGTTTAATATACCCATCTTCTTTCACATGTGCATTTTCACTTGTTCCTGGTTGGGGAGTTTGAACTTGATGTATTCCCCGTAGCAAGTCATTTATTTCTCCTTCTACAAGACCTAACTGGAAAGCAGCTAGTGAAAAATCCCAAAGTAGTAGAATTCAGTGGCAAATTTGGAAATATATGCTGAAAGTTAGAATTTTCTTTCCAATATCAAAAAGCTTTAGTTGAATTATTATACTGACATTGACCATGTCTTTGTACTCCTTTATAACAAAAATGCCAGAAAAGAACCATTTATAAAAAGAACAAAAATTATCTCTTTTTTTTTTCTTTTAGTGAAAAGGGTCAGGACAAACTGCATTATAAGAGTTTTGGATATGATAATGTTTATTTTCAGATTGGTGTCATAATCATGTCCTACACTTTGATCTGTTCATTTGTCCATAAGCTAATATTTCATTGCATACGAAAGTATTAAAAGAAATAGGGCACAGATGCAAGAAATAGGTATTTTTAAAAATTTGTTGTTTTTAGATATACATGGCAGTAGGGTGTATTTTGACATATCATACATACATGGGGTACAACCCATTACAATTTTGATCCCATTCTTGTGGTTGAACATGATGTGGAGTTATACTGGTAGTGTATTCATATAGAGGAAAGTAAAGTCCAATTCATTCTACTACTGTCTTTCTTATTCCCATCACTGCTCCCTTCCCTTCATTCCCCTTTGTTGAATCCAATGAACTTCTGTAATTCCCCTCCCTGCCCTCTCTTATTATGGGTTAGAATCATATATCAGAGAGAATATTTGACCTTTGTTTTTTTTTTTTGTTTGGGGGGGGGACTGGCTTATTTAACTTAGCATGATATTCTCTAGTTCCATCCATTTACTGGCAAATGCCATGATTTCATTCTTCTTTATAGCTGAGTAATAGTCCATCTGTACATATACTACATTGTCTTTATCCATTCATCTGTTGAAGGGCACCTAGGTTGGTTCCATAGCTTGGCTATTCTGAATTGAGCTGCTATAAACATTAAGTGGCTGCATCACTGTATTTGGTGTAAATTACTCCTCTTTAGATGAACAGATAATGAGAGAGCAAGACAACTGTGACTGTTTTCCTGTTTCAACTTACTGTTCCCTGTCCAAAAACATCTTAGTGGCCATATTCTTCAAGAGGTGGTCAGTATGCCTTGGGATGATATAGGTACTATATTGCCTGTACCTTTGGGGATGTGCATTCTTTGAATTCTGATTTTTCTCTATTCTGATGTTCTCACGAGGAATTATGTTCTAAGAACCTATAGTTTTGAGCAGAACATCCTAGATTTTTAATTTCCTGGCCTATTCTTATCCTAATTTTCCCTCTCCCTTTCCCTTTCTTTAACAAATCATAATTTAAATGCTAACTGTTATTAATCTCCTGAATTCCAGTCATCTTATACATTATTTAATATATATAGGTTAAATGATTTATAAGATAAGGAAAAGCTTTGTTTTCCTGGAAAGACCCTAAGTTAAGAATAAAAATATTGAAGACATCATGTTATATTTCAATACTGAGACCTCTGGTTCCTTATGGGAGGAGATACTTTAATTAACCATTGCTTTGGATGAGAAAGACTGTCACAGAGACACAGCAACATCTGCTCTCTAAAAGTAGGAAGAGAAAAATGAAGAACAAAAGATTATGTTTTTGAAAATCAAGATTCCATAAGGCAGAGAAAATGCTGAAGAATGTAATTTCATAAAAGGAGATGTTTAGAAACTGTTCTATGTAGTATAATAAAAATATAATATTAGCTTTTGATGACTTTAAGCAGAGATTATATAGCTTTGAAAATACAAAGTAACAGAAATTCTGTGTGATAAAAGCAGAACACAAAATTCCAATATACTATTAGACATGAATATATATATATTCTACATATATATGTATATATACACATATATACATAATCTTTTATAATTAAATATTTTCATAAAAGCGAAATAAAATTGAGGAATTTTATTATAGTTTTGTGATATATATTCACTTAGAAAATTTCCCTTAAATGTGATCTTATTTTTAATCCATAAAATAATTTTAAAAAATAGCATTTAGAAGAAACTGTGAGGTGACAAATCTAGGTTTTCTTGAGAATGTATGGGAAACAGAATATTTAGTGTTAAAAATTGATATTTGCAAAATAAAATTCCTTGTAATAATTTTTTATAAGCTTCAAAGATAAAAAAAATCTCAAATTTCTCATATATTAACACTAATGTGTAAAATTATTGTTCCTAAAATCCTTTTAGAAAGAGTATATAAATGATGTTCAAAGCATTCCCCCTTCAGTATTAATTCCACCCCCTCCACACTTATTTATGTACTCTATATAATTCCAATTAAAAACTGTTCATAGCTTTCTTTGAATTATTTAAATTTTTGTGCATATTTACTATTGCTTTAATTTTATGTGATAAACATCAAGGTCATTAAGCTTTCTACTTTTTTTGAACATTCCTGTACTGTGTATAATTTAGGATTTTCTTCATGTTAACTAATTAAAACTTATTTTAAATATAGAAGATATGAAAAATCTTTATTTTAGTAGGAAGTATACATTTTCAAAATTAATATACATAATTAATTTAAACTTTTAAACATTCCCTTCTGGTTTTTATAAAAAGAATAGTTTGTCTTCAAAAAGTGCAAAGGAAAATGTAACATAAAATATTAGATGGGTACATAAGACCTTGCTGTTTTGTAGATAAAAAAAAAATCTAAATATTAGCAATTCACATGGCCCAATTTATAAAAAAAAAGTACCTAGTGAAATTTCTGGCAGATATGTAGTACAATAAATGTTTGTTGAATTTAATTGAATGGTGTTATATCATCTAATGAAGTGGCCATTGGCTATATATTATGCATTTCGATTTAGCTAATGTGACTGAAAAACTGACTTTTAAATTTTGTTTAATTTAAATTTATAACTTTATAACATTTATAAAGTTACGAAAACTTTATAAATGTTTGTAACAATTTGTGTATTTTGTGAATCTATTTTTCAACTGAAAAGTTTATGAAGTCCCCATTCAGATAAAATATTTCCAATAAAAATATAGTGTCTGAGCAGAGACGCACTGTAAGTGTAACATACACACAAGATAGTATAAAAACAAAAAGATAGTGTGGAAACAAAAATAACATGGCTCATAATCTTTACTTTGATTACATGCTCTCATGATAATATTTTGATACATTACATTAAGTTAAAATGTTATTAAAGTTGTTTCCTCCTTGTTCCTTTTAAATTCTTACCAAATGACTATAAAATTACTTATTTGGCTCATCTTATATTTATTTCTATTTGGAACCCTCTCAGTGTAGAAGCTTGGGAAAATGATTTGGATACACAATGTTAAGAATAACTAAGCCTTTGGAGAGGCGGTCAACATTTAACTTTGTATGGATGGATGAGCAAATATGTATGAAATTGAACAACCCAGTTATCACATATGAAGGGATTCAAAGGGAGAATTAAGGACAGAGTGAGATTTTTATAAAAATATTTTTCTGTCTACAGTGTGAAGGAGGAGGTACAAAGTTCAGGAACTGAAAACAGTAAAGCTGCACAGAAATATAACTAAAGGCTGAAGAAGATTGAGCCATGTTAGAACATATGAGAAATAGGATATGTAGAATTTAGTAGGTACAATTGAATATCTGAGAGAGCATGTAAAGTGAGACTACAAAAGAAAATCCTTGTGAAACACTAATACTAAATTATTTCCTAATATAATTTTAACATATTTTTCTATAATAGTAGGGGGTGGGACATGAGTATGTATAAATAGAACCTTTGAATTGAAAAAAATGTGAAAACTGTTTACCACTTAAATTTTTTAGGGATTTTATGAACATTTATTAATAAATTTTAAAATTTATTAAATTAGATGGGTCTAGTATAGATAAATCAACTCCTCTATTGCAGAGAAAACTTTCATAATGATAGTAGCTTTATTATAAAATATAAAAATTTAAATGATCTGTAACTGTATTTCTTTTTCTTTTATTTTTAGGACTCTGAAATTTAAGATTATATGATTATATGCCTGACTCTAAACTCTTATTTAAGTACTGACATGAAAACTACTTTTTTAAAATATTTTTTTTCAAAACAAGTTCAGTTAGTTTACTTTTTTTTTTTTTTTTTGGTACTGGGGATTGAACTCTGGGGTACTGAATCACTGAGCAACATCCTCACCCCATTTGTATTTTATTCAGACAGGGTCTCACTGAGTTGCTTAGTGCCTCACTATTGCTGAGGCTGGATTTGAACTCACTATCTCCTACTTCAGTCCTGAGCCGCTGGGATTACAACCATGTGCCCCGGTGCCCGGCTCAGTTAGTTTACTTTTTTGAGTGATATTATATGTCATGTTATCTATTTGTAGGATTGGAAAAACTGCATTTTTATATTTCTCGTGATAAAAATAGCTTTCAGTACAAACATACTGTGAATCTTTGCTTAGGATTAGGAAAGTTATTTTCTATCAAATAACTGGCCATTGTTTTATCTGTTTTTAATTAAGTGCCTTTAATTTTGGAAATGTCATATAAAGTTACATTTTCTACTAAAGAAGAAAAATGTTCCAACTTTTTTAAGTGTAACAAGCTGGGTTACAAATAGGTATCAGATTCTTCTGAAAAATAAGCTTCTAAGTTTATATTATGCTTAAATAAAAATTCTTCTATTTGCTAATTTTAAATTAGTAAAACAACAACAACAACAAATGGAACACTTACATTCATGATTCCTTGGAAGCTTGAATTTTTTCAATAAGACCCTAATATTCACAAGTAGAAAAAAGTAAAATATTTATTTTTGACAAAACCATAGAGTTTTCAAAAATTTAAAATAGAAATAGCATTACAGAATTTGCACCGCTGAAAATGTTATGAATAAATTTAAAGCTCATCAAATTTCTGTTATCCTAATAGTTAAATTTATATTTTAAAGTAAACATGTGAAAAAGTATGATTAATGGAAACAAAAGACATCTGTAGTGAAGAGATTTATTAGATAGTCCATGTGTTTCTTATAAGATACAGTCCTTCAGAGAGAGGAGAGTGAGCAAATTTACATATTCATCACACTACCTTTAAAATTCCCTGGAAACAGGGGCTGGGAGTGTAGTTCAGTGGTGGAGTGCTTTCCTAGAACATGTGAGGCATTGGGTTCTATCCTCAGCACACATTAAAAATAAAAAATAAAATAAAGGTATGCTGTCTATGTATAACTACAAAAAAAAATTAAAAATTAAAAATTTCCTGGAAACAAAGGAATTTTCTGGATAGAATGTCAAGCAATTGTTTTTCTACAAATGCCACTATAATGGATAATAGAAAAATATTTTCAAGTCTCACCAAATGAAATGTGACTTTTTAAAAAGTGGGAAATACATTTTAAGTTCTTATTTAAATATATTAAATATACTTTTGCATACTGAATATTGAATTATGTTTCCATTTAGTTTATGGTTAAAATACTGTACAAAATGAGTTTCAAATATTAAATCAGAACAGAATATAAAAATAAAATAAAAATGGACATAAAATAAGAATGTAAAACCCTATTGTAAGTATAATAATAATACCAAATTGCAAGTGTTAAAAGGATCATATTTTTATCTTCATGTTAACAGGCGTAAATAACCTGTCACTACATACTTAATAAAAACTTACCAAAATGAAACAGCAAAAAACTTGTGAGTAAAAGCATTAGAAAAAAAAAAGATATATACTGTTTTATTTTTCTGTGAAGAAAAGCATTAGATATATGATATACAGAGTTTCATTTTTTTTGGTTTTATTTCCCCCCTCAAATATCAATTATAAATTATTTATAATTAATGATTTGTTAATAAAAATATAGGCAGGCAAAACAAATTGAATTGAATTGGATTTAAACTAAATGGAGATTGTTTTGTTTCCATTTATGGGGTCAATTAACCTACAAATAGGTTCCTAACTTAAAGAAAAATTTCAGATTTGAGAAAAATGATCTTCAATAGGGTCCTACTTCTATCGTTAAGGCTTCATAACTAAATGTTCATTGAGCAGGAAAACTTTATTAAACTTGACCAACATATACAAGTATGAAAAGGGTGAATATTTTCCAATCCTATGTCTATGTAAAGAAGACAGAACACTTTTGATTTTTAAGAAAATGTATTTTTGGAGACACAAATTTGTTAAAGCATAGTAATGTCTCAAAATGAACCATAGTTATCATTAGTGGTGTGAATCAGGCATCCCCCTCCCCCGCCCAATTTTGTAGTTAAGAGTTTACATTTATACACAGAATGAAAATCTAAACATTGTTTTTGTAAATTTAAAATAATTACATTATTAAATGTTTGCCGATTTAAACTTAGTTTTCAGAATGAAAGGAAATATTAAAGAATAAATTAGAAAGGTATGAACATTTTATCTTTACATTTCCTTAACACTAAATTTGTTTGGTTTTGTTGTATTTAAACCATGAAAAATCATAAAATATGTAATCTTTCAAGATGGTCCTTTGTGAATGATCTTCATTAAAAAGTCACTTACCAGCATATATGCTTACAAAGCTCCCCTTTTTTCAGAAATGTGGAACAGTTACAAACATGAGGATTTCCAAGAAAAACCTTTAAAAAAGGAAAGGTATGCTTTTAAAACATTCCAGGTAATTTTGAGAGAGCAAAACTGAGTTGGTATATAATTTGATTAAAAGAGATTTGAAGAGGTAATTTGGTTTAGGTAACTTCAAACTCAATCTATTATTGAATTGAGTCTACTGGGAAATCTTAATTCTTGACCCCTCATTATGGGCTAATTTTTCACTTCCATATTCTTTGTCTTAGTTAACGACTTAGTGTGAATTAAGACAGTTTTTTAAAAAAGTAATATGTACTCCAATGAAAATAAAGTTTGAAATCATAAAAATAAAATGAAATTAAAAAAATCCCCAAAACAAACCAAACAAAAAACCAAACCAAACACCACCCCCCTGAAACTATAAATTTCTTAACTGTAAGGACATTCTAGCTGGAGTGGAGTTAAAAACTCTCTGTAAGGTAGTTTACTTTCCATTTTTATTTGTTCATTTTTATTTTGCATTTGGAATATCATTTTATTCAAGAGAACTAATTTTATTCACCAAAACTATTGGACAGAAGAGTATTAAAGCAAATGTTATAAGCAACAGTAAAAAAAAAAAAGTGTTTTGGACAAGAATAGATTAATAAGTTATATTCAGTACTCTAAAATATATTCAGCCTTAAGTTAAAAATTTCACCACCTGGCAGGTGGTGTGGTGACTGGATTCTGATTGGTGAGAATGGGCCCCTCAGCAAAATAATAAATAACTTTTATTCATTAAGATCTATCCAAACCACCACCATTTATTAATATCCTTTAACGAGGCCTTGTTATATTTTTAAAGAGAAACTGATTTTATTTATTTAGTAAATATTTACATTACCTAAGATGATTTTTAGGATTTCCATTTTGCTTAATTTACTGTTATTTCTAATAACAGAACGTACAAATGCAAAACGAACGTGTCTATAAAAACCAGACATTTTCAGCCTGAAGATCAAGGGCCATTACCTTACAAGAGTTGGAGGCAATTTGGGGTCCTAACTTCCATATACAAACTAATCTGATGAATATTTTTTCCTTCTGTAATTTGTACATTTCTAGTCTGGGACACTTGCAGGGATACACCTTTTGGGCCAGGCAGCGAGTGTCTGCAGTGGCTAAACTCATTGGGCGGGCCTGGGGGGACGCAAGGTGAATTGGGGGCGGTAGTTACTCGGAAATCCCTGTTTTCTGGCTCTTCCTCCCTCAGCAGGAAGCCGGTGGGGCCCATCTGTCGTAGGAGGTAGATGCTGCTGTTCAACGCCTGGTCTTGTTGCCAGCTGAGGCTGTCATTCAAGAGTCTTCGCCTTTCAGAGGGCCGGTAGCCTCCGCGAAGCATCCTGCCTGGGTGCAGGCGGGGGCGGCTTCTCGGCGAGGCTTTCGGAGGCGCCCTAGGGTCTCCATGACAACGGCGTGCTGCGAGCCGGTTGCCTTGGTGATGGAGGTTAGCTTCCGTGGCCTCCCAGCGTGCCTTGCGCTGTGGTGGAGCTCCAGACTAGGGTGCAGGAGGGTGTGGATTCTGCAGTTCCTTACCTGCGCTGCTTTCTGAAGTGAGGCTCCTAACTGAGAAGTGTTTCAAATAACCAACTGACTGGCTTGAAAGCTGGTCGTCAAAGGCCTATCTGTCAAATCTCTTGCGTTCCTTCTGCTGGGCTGATGAAATCTTGTGTATTAGGACGGTTGCAAGCCCAGTAACAGTTTGGGCTCTGAATGGTGATTCATCATCTTCCTTGGAAAGCCTGAAGTAATTGTGGACTTAACCATATTTCGTAAACATTTCCCTAGTGTTCACAATGTGTATAGGCAGGTCTGTAGAAAGCAGGGCTAACCCCTAGGGAGCTGTAAGTTGGGGTGTGGTGTGTGTGTGTGTGTGTGTGTGTGTGTGTGTATGTGTGTATGTATGTGTGTTGTAAAGCAAGGAGAAATCTCTAAATTTCATGTTTGAATAGAGATTGGGACTTGGGGCTGGTAGTAGAGAATCTGCTGACTTATGGATACATGCCCTTTACGTTTATAAGCCTCCAGTATTTTCAGGGTATGCAAGGTTGACCCAATCATGTAAGTCGTCTCTGAGCTTTCCTATCACATACCACAAGGAGAGCTGTAATAAAGTACTGGTCAACATTTGAGCTATAATTACCGAGAAAGAAGCCATGTTGCTGGAATCTAAGAAATTAAAAGCAGGAGATAGTATCAATTGCTGACCCAGACAAGGACACAGATATTTGTTCTATTTTATCATGGGAGGAAGCCACAACTGCATTATGTTGAGATCAGGAAAGAAGAAAATGGATAACCACAATACTAAAATAGATGATGGAAATGGCAGCTTTCATGTGTGAGATACCTGGATAAACACCATCTGGCCCTAGGTCTAACATTTTAACCCACCAAATATTGTTTTTGCTCCTCTATTCGAGTAATAACAACTAATATGCATATTACTGTACTTCCAACATTAACATCAACTTAATGGTACTAGATGTTAAAGTAAAATAAAATACACTGGAAAAAAAAATCTCATACTGAGAACAAAAATTATCAATTAAATTAATTTTCTATATTAATACTTATTAATTTATTTGAATTCTTAAAATTATAATTCATATTCCAGTATAAAAAGATAAATTGTGTTCCATAGTTAAGGCACTTCAATCACTGTTCATCATCCTCTCCACTGTGTGTATATATAATATATATATAAATGGTTATATATATGTGTATGTGGCATTTATATACACAAATATGTGCCATATATAGTATATAAATAGATACATAGTTAAGAATTTAAAAATCAGCATAACAATAATTGTTAAAGCCATTGTGTTTTACTTAGATTAGTGATACTTGATCCATGTGTAAATGATAAACACCATTTTTCCAAAAAGTCATGTGCTTAAGACACAATAGTCATTATATAAATTGAATATAGGTTCATAAATTCCATTTTGGGGGCTTGATAAAATAACAATATTCATGCCCTCATGAAAGTTAGGAGAAGGCACAGATTGCTAGACAGAATTTCAGTCTTGCTCTAAGACATTTGTTTTTATATCTGTCAGTAAAAACTTTGGAAGCATTTTTATAGCCAGGTGACTATCCCTTATGTTAGCTTTATCTTTTAACAGTGTGCAACAGAGGATATATTTTATAAATATTAAATTTGAGAGTTAATTTTCTCCTTAAATTCATAATCTTCTCCTCCAGAGTATATTTTGAGACATATTGCCTGAGGGAAGAAAGAGCTGGTCACTGCTAGAAACAAATATATCTGAGTTTCTAGGATTGATAAACTTGAATTTCATGTACTAACTTTTAGCCTTTTTGGCAATACAATTGATTGTGAAAGACAGAAATTAATAAATTACTATAGCTCCAATTTAAGTTGTAAAAAGTTAGACTAACTTTAGAAAGGTGGAAAGAAGAGTAACAGAAGCCAGTGGAAGAAGTCAGTTGCCAAGTTCAACAAAGATGTGCACAAGTTTGGGTGTGACTATGTGGAGTTATGGATTGAGGTGGGTTTGGGATGGTTGAGAATACCTGGGAGGTGTGTGTGTGGGGGGAGCATACTTCTGGAATTTAGTTATGGAGAGGTAATCTGCTAAGAATATTCAGCTTTTTGCTATGTTTAACACATGGTAAGCAATAGGCAGAGTTTGTTGAGGGCCACAGCCGAGTCGGCATTTTTGCCAGAAGTAGTGGTTGAGAGGTGACACCAGCGAGCCATTAAGATGATGACTTTTGGAGTTCCCATTGATTTCCGGTTGAGCTCTCCCGGGGATTCCTGAAGAGTTTGCATTGGTTGGGGAAGTGCCGGAGGAGGGATTTCTGGTTGGTGGTTCCTGGAGGAGCCGCGTGGTGTTCGGGAGAGTTCCTGGGGAGCATGTGTGGAGTGTGCTGGTGGAGTTCAGAAATAAAGTTTGTTCCTCTTGAGTGGCTCGTGATTTATGCCCGGCCAGACTGCGGCAATTGGTGGCCCAGACTGTGGCAAGAATTACTTGTGGAAGACTGATAAATGAACTGGATGTAATGCCTTGGTTCTCAAGGAATAAAGACGTGCCATGAATATAGTAGTTTGTGTTTAACTCCAGTGAAAGGGTACAAAGAAAAGCAGAATACTGGTGTCTGACAAAAAAAAAATATGGAATTCACTGACTTCAAGACTGAAAGCATGTAGTCATGACCAAGGACCCCAGTGGGAGGTGCCAATATGACAACTTTTAAAAAAGTCAAATAGGGTCAATTACCAACAGGGACCAGTTCAGATTGGCCACATTGCAGAAGAGACCAGCAAGAATCTAGGGGACATTTTTTTTTGTTATCAGATACAGGATTATGAAGCTTCAGTTTTCTTATATTGTACATACATATTTGGGGAGAAATAGAGATTGTGTGGAAATCTGGAATTTGAAGCATTTTATACTTAGTATTGATTAAGATAGTCTTAACATTCCATTTAACTTTACTAAACTTTAAGAAAACTCCTTCCTGGTGCCGGGGTTGTGGCTCAGCTGTAGAGCACTCGCGTAGCACGTAGGAGGCACTGGGTTAGATCCTCAGCACTGGGTTAGATCCTAGGCACCACATAAAAATAAATAAATAAAATAAAGGTATTGTGTCCAACTATAACTAAAAAAATATTAAAAAAAAAGAAAGCTCCTTCCTCAATGTAGATTCCTGGTCTTCGAATATGAGTGTAGAAAATTTTCAATTTTTTTTCTCACTGAGGTGCTAATATTCTCCAAGTTTCTTGCCAGTATAAAAACCCAGCGATTTTTTTTTTTTGGCAAGAACCTTAGAGCCATCCGTTTGAAATGAAATCATCAAGAAAGTTAGGGCTCCTAAATCCTGGACTTTGTGGCAATATGGGAGACTAACTTGAATAGGTGTCAATTAACAAATGCAGATGGCCTACTTACATGGACCAACCTCCTCCCTAATGCCTTCCAGTATTTTCCCACTAGCTTATCTCAATGCTTAAAAACTTGTATTTTATTAACTGAAGTTGAGTTTGCTCTCTCTCCCTTTGTGAAATAGTATTGACAAAACCTGTTTAACTCTAGATAATGCAATTTTTCTTTGATAACAAATGTCACTTATTTAAGAAGACAATTAAATTATTAAATCAGACTAGATTATACTTTACTAAGTTTTTTTTTTTTCTTTTGTGATAAAGGAGAGTGGAGGGTACCAAAGATGATTGAATCATTTATGGAGAAAACACACTTCAACTTTTTGTGCCACTATGTGTAATATAAATAAATGAACAACTTGCTACTAGTGAGATTGGGGCTTTTATTTGAAGATGCCAAACTGGATAGGTAATGGCACTTTTTTTCAAGTTAAAAAAAAAAAGATTTGAACTACTGCAATGAAGAGAACTAAAAAGGCTGAAGTATGCAGAACTCTTTGAATTGACCCAATGTCACTTGCCATTGTATAAGTTCTTCCCATATTCATATGTAATGTAACCTGGCAAAAGAGCCATTGCAGATGTGATTAAAGTTATTAATCAGTTGTTGTTGTTTTTTGTCTTATTATTTATTATGTATGAGTTAAAATCATAGTGCATTGAAAAAATCACCAATTAAAACATTTTTAAAGAAAATGTTATAATTTAGTTGGTTTTGAGTTAAAGAGAGATAACTTGTGTTGGACTAATCCAATTTTAAGAATCCTTTAAAGGCAGAGATGTTTTATCTAGCTTGTAGCAAAAAGAGAAGCAAGAATGGAAGAGTTATTACCTTGCTGGTAATCAAGATGGAGATGGAAGAGGTCACATTACAAGGAATTCTGGGGCCTCTGGTTGACAGTGATCAAGAACATGGTGGTCCTTAGATATATGTCAGCAAGGATCTGGATTTCTTCCATCAAACTAAATGGGTTTGGTTTAAAAGTATATTATTGCACAGATTTGTTATATAAGAACACAATTTGAATGACAAATTGATTTTCAAATTTTCGGGACACTAGTGGAGAATCTAGATGAGCCTGCCTAGATTTTTGACCTACAGGCCTGTAGATTAGGAAACAGGATTTCTTTCTTTTTCTTTTCTTTTAAAGGCACTGTGTTTTTGGTAATTTTCTTATACAGTAACAAAAAGTGGATATGAGGCCATTGCTTTCCATTTATCAGGGAAATCATATGATCCTTAACCTTGTGAATTTGGCTTATTTTGCTTTACATAATGGTTTAATTCCATTCATTTTCCTGAAAATCACATAATTTCATTTCTCTTTATGGCTGAATAAAACATATATATATATATATATATATATATATATATATATATATATATCACATTTTCTTTACCTACTCATCTGTTTATGGACACCTAG